GCGTGTGACTTATATTATACAATATTTTGTACGGCTCTCGGAGGGAGAATTTGAATTTTTTTCACCTTCGTACAATATATGTGTTCGTTTTACCGGCATTTCGATTGTAAAAATTTATAATCACAATAATAATAATAGACGAAAGTCCGGCTACTTCCGACAGATACGACTAATAATCGCAAGTGACCACTGACCGAAAAGGCGTTCACATGAACGAACATAATAGCAACGATTGTAGGGGAGACGCTTTTTCATAAAATGTAGTAGGTAGGCACACACGACTTTATAATATAATTTGGGATACTCTATTGTCGTTATTCTCTTGTTAAAATATAATAATGCCTTATCGTTATTAAAACGTTTATATTATTATTAGCTTCTTATTATATGAACCGAGTCTAATGCAAGAGTAGACTATGTAAGAATAATTAGTTCATCCATAATATATGCATTAAATATATCATGTATAATGAACTTAAATATATTTTTTCACGAAGGAGGTAAGATATAAAATTGGAAGTTATATAATAAACACATAGTACTTTATACAGTATCCTAGCATTAGAAAAAGTGTGTACTCGCGGATGAAGCAAAACTTCTTTCGGAGAAATAAAATCGCTAAAAAATATAATCACGGTATTTGAGAACTGATGCTAATTATAAAATAATATATTTGTCATCACTACCATGGCAAATGGTCTGTCTTGTTTTAATTTTATGACTCAAAAAATCTGTCGTTTTTTCTTTTTACCTATACCCTAATTATTATATAAAATAATAAAAAACTACATTTTATATAAAATTTATACTTTTACTACGCATGCGGTCCACAAGATTTTTAAGAATAATAAGTGGCTTGCTGGATATAACATAAAGAATATCCCTGCTATATGCATCCCTGTATATTCGCAGTAAACTTCATAATAATTGTCTAATAAATTCTGAACTGCAAGCACTATATACGTAGGTATATAGGCGAATGGATCAAACGGATTTGTTCACGAAAGCGTCATCTTATACGTGTGTACTGTGTACACTGTACTTATACTTTAAATTAAATCACAACAGTCTTATTTATATGGTTATACATTTTATTCAACGTGTACGTACCACGTAGTAGGTTCGTACGTTGGTATAAAATGCATCTAATCCATCGGTTTAACCATTATTGATTAAATTTGTTTTGTTAAAAATCATACCTTAACTCTTTGTGTTATTATAACATTATGTTGGTAAATATAACTCACCATAATAATTCCTAGGTTTCTACATGTACAAAAATCTGTACAACACAATTGAATTCTTTCAATTAGTGTCAACACGCCGAAAATACGACGTAGGTACCTATGCTGCACGAGTTCAGAGTTGTACCTACGTTTGTTTTAGTAATTATTTCACATGTCATTCGGGACCCTCATCCCAAAATTCCAACTGCAGAATAAAATAACATGTATTTTATAACATAATGTTTCCTATAAAAGGGGTTCGTTTTGCAGGCAGTAATAATAACGACCTTTCTGCTGCACTATACCCACCGACATGTACGCCGTTATATACCGGAAACAGCGCTTTTGTTATACGGATATACCGCGCAAGAGATTGGCGTACGATCACTATTCGGCTGATATTTTACGACAAAATAATAAACTTGATGGTATTGCGTTAAATACAACACCAAGGGTTGTTAGACCTTTACCAAAATTAATCATCTTTAAACGTCTTTATGGCCAAAACGTCATGCGTATTTATAATAACGACGGAAACGACTCTCGGTTAGGTATATATGTCGTAGGTCATAAAGAAAATTGGTCTTTTTACAAAAATACTAGGCTCTTTGCAATGAAATAACCTATTTACGAACTACTCATTATTTTTCCAAACGGCTTTCAGACTAATTTCATACAGACTAACAACAGTTAAGCCATTGTATAGTAATAAGTGAAGAGACATTCGAAATTTGTAATGCAGGATTATCAAAAATATTTTTGCAAAACATCGTGTAACAAATTAATATTGTAACGCAATATTTTTTGCAATATTTCTTTTAATTTAATATTTTACATATTTTCTTTTTGGTTAGAAATATAAAAAAGCTTTAAAATAATCTTAACTTTATTGATGCTCACCCCATTTATAGAGTTTATAAAATAAATATTATATTATATAATAAGTATCATATACTTTCGGGCTATCTCATTGCAAAGAGCCTTATCTTTTTGCAAAAGACTAATTATCCATATGCCTACGACCTTATATAATAAATCAACAGCGCGCGGGCTCGTTACATTTCGTACCGAATTTATCATCGTTAAAGCTTAAATTTAACAATGATATACCTACTTTGCATTTTATTAATTTTATTCCGTACTCCTGCGCAATCATTTTTGGACTTGAATAAATTAATTTTAAAAACAGCATCCAGACGATTCGTCCGTAACCTAACCTAATGCAACAATTACTGAAATCCACTCATTTTAAGTCCACTTAATTATAATTTATAAATGTGTGAATAATTTACAATTAATTTACATTAAAATATTTGAACCTTATATATTATACAATAAACGTACACAGAATAGACATTATATCAGATGACTTAATCATTGCCTCGAAAAAAAATACCATAACAATTAACCATCATCAAAACGTATAAAACGTATGCATTATGCTATGATAGATAAGTAATGCAAAAGATTTTTTTTTCTTATTTTATGCGTCTTCATATGTTTTTGCTTCTGTTTAGTCAATTCGAAAGTGTCTCTAAATAACGTTTTTCTTATATCATTGTTATAGGTACCTATATATATGTTTATTATTGATATTATTTATTTTTGTTGGCCATCAAAAGATATAACGCTCACCCATTCCGCGCATCCACCCATTTTTGTTTATGCCGGTGTCCAGTAGACTAAAAAAAAGTGGCTTCACCCGTACATTTTACATATATATATACCTATATATAATCATATATAAATATACAATACCGGGTCCACAACAATAGTGATATATATACATAAGCCGGAGTAAACACGAGGGTGAAAAAAAAGAAAAGAAAAGATTGTATACAGGCAAACATCTGAAATTGAAACCGGGCGTACTTGTACGACGATATTATTGTGTTGTCAGCTCTTCAGTAAATTTGTCAGGCCTGTCAAAATTGCGTATCGTAAAAGTAACATAATACCTATACGTAGGTATAGACCTTTTTCACGGGTAATTTTTCAATTATTACATAATATAGTTAGGTACCTGCATATGCTATGTATATACTACATATATTATAATATACCGTACACGATTGTTCCGTGCATACGCGTGAGGGCGCTCCGAATTGAAATCGAGTTCGTTTATCCCGCTGCAATCGTATTGTGGATACATCTCGTACGTCATCGGCCTTCTTATATAATTAGACGACAATACTTTTAAACTCGGCAGGAATATTATTGGTTGGTACGTCGTATGATTTTAAGCTTTGACTGAACTTTTTTTTAAAAACATCCAAAAATTAAACCCCTTATCTTGCTTAGACTTATAATATGTACAGTTAAAACAAACGACTATGTTACATTGCTAGCATTTCTTTGGTTTTACTAAGCAATTATGCGACTCTGTTAGGCTGTCTGAATCGCAGTCAGCTGTAAACACATAAACATACATTCTGACTATCAATCGCTTTCTTATTTTAATATGTTTATAATACCTATCCCATTTATCACACTTGGAAAAACAGCCCCTACAACTGCACCGGTCGCTGTAAATAATATTATAAACATTTGTTGTAAATATTATACGCATTGAAACACTGTCGTCAGTTTTTATAGTATTATATATTATTATATTGTCGCGAGCATTCACAAAACACGGTTGAGTGCTGACAAGGGGAAAAACGCATGGATCAATATACGGCATATACGCTTTCGAAAAAGAGGGTTGCATGGATGAGGGGAGGGATTATAATTGACGCCATTTTGTTTTCAGAGTTCCAATGGCACTATTGTTGTTATAACGAATAGAATTTCAAAGAAAAGAGGAAGTATTTTCATTATGATGTGTCATTATTCTAAATCATATATAAATGTGTGTGTGTAGGCAATAAATACAAATGTCATAGACAGATCGATATATATATATATATATATACTTTCAACTATGAGACACTCAAAACTTTTAACAAGTATCTTTCTAATAACACGTAAAAGCTAATAATATAATGTTATTATGGTATACCGATTATGATTTTTGAGATTGTATTTTTGTATTTTTTATTTGTATTTTTCATCAATAATTTATTGAAAAATATATTTTATATCTATAAATTCATGTTTCACAAAACATTGAACTCTATACTTCAAAATAATATTATCATTGTAAATAAATCAATATAAAAATCGAAAGCACATATTTTTTAATACTATGTTCAATTTCACGTTAAATTTAAGTATATATATATATATAAAAGCATGCATAATATTTACAATATTGTAAAGTATATTATATATATATATATATATATATACACTATGTAGTCATAAATTTTCTAATTTATACAGTACAAGTTTGAATTATTATTGAAAAAACTGTAATGATGATTTTATAATATTAAATATTTATTTGTCATCGACGTATAATAGACATTATATTAAAAGTATTGTAATATTCAAAATAAATTTCAAAACTGCTGGCTTTCGGCGAGTACATTAATAATTCAATATTATTTTTATCCAACTGCCGATAATCTAATACCCTAATATCATATATTTTAATATTATATTGAGATCAGACATGTTTATACCAACAAATTATTTTTTATTCTAACTGTACTGTAATAGGCTTAATAGTTTTACAATCATATAAGTCAACAAACAAAACATACTATCTACAAATAGATATGTAGGTATTATAAACAATTGACTTATTTGTGAATAAGTTTAAAATGACTACTTATGTCTTTGATTTGTAATAAATAAATAGTTATTTCAAAATTAAATATATTTCCTTACCATTCCTTGTTCTTTTTCAAAATCACAATATCCAATAGTGGGTTGGTGGTAAGATGTCATCGATGGCATATTTGGAGTGAACATAAGTTGCAGATTTGTTCCCGTTGTGGCAAAAGCCTAAAAATAGAAAAATAAGAATGTAAAATATATAACCAATAAATGGAAAAAAATGGTTCTCGATGAAAATTCCGAATTGTTATTGACTTAATACGTACGATATCCACATGTCCTTCGCGACAACCCATTTGAAAACGGTTTTGTCGTTCTTCATGTGGTCTATCTCTGTAGCTCGTATACCTCACCTGTAAAAAAAAAAAAAAAATACAAAATATAAGTAGTATTCATTTTAGAGGCATTCGATATTTTTTTAGAAAATTTAGATATTTCTATAACATTTTGTAATGTTATTACGCTTCAAACGCAGAAGTAAAATACATCATTTTTAGCCAAATCCACAAAACACGTGCATAGATTTCTGTTTGCACAATTCATTGATTAAAAAAAACAATCTGTATATCTAATTCATGATGTAGATACAAATAAAAGTTACTCGACTCTCGAATCAACAACTATCTATATTATTTATAATTTTGTAAGAATTACTTTAAAAATACGTATAAATATGTACAATGTATCTATCTAACTTAATATTTAAATAGTGAGTTTTTAAAATATCTAACCATATGGTCAGCCTGGTCAGGTCAAAATATAAGTGGTATGAATTATACGTAAGTAATTTATCAAAATAAATAGCAATCGATATTTTAATTATTTTATATTTGTATGTTGAAAAAGTAGGTAATAGAATTATTAATGTACAAAAAATAAAATTCAAGTGCATATATTTTTGCCTTGTTTACACTCTGGTCATACATGTGATAATCAAGATAAAAGTTGTTTGATCATAAACTCATAAAGCATAATTTGTCTATGAGCATAAAATATTTTATATTTTTGTATGAAAAGAATTTTTTAAATATTTCTATAGATTAATAAACATTTTTTTCTTGAATTTAACCGTTTAAAATTTACCATACTTTTAACTTATAATAAACGATAGGTATAGTTATTTATTTTGTCAATTTAATAAATATCATTATATATACTATCATATCACACGCATACACGTTTAATATAATCACAACTAAAATAATATTTATGTATCTTAGTATCTAATATATACTTTTTCTAGGAAGCAACTAAAAATATTTTATTAAAACGTTTATAAATAATTGTAGTCCACATGTATAGCGTGTATACACAACCGCATATAATTTTAGGTGTTAGCCACATAATATGGTTTCAGCGTTTCGATTCTATGCAGCTGGAAATCGTTTGAAAATTGACCATTTAGATTTTAAGCACACGTGGTGGTCAGTGCTGTGTCAGAACAAAATATCAGGTACAGCTGGACAGGATTTATATAGTGGCGGCAAAGTGTCACAGGACCTAGTTACTGGAGGACCACATGGTCTCCGATAACTGTCTTATATCACGATTAATGACTTATTTCGGTCGATATTTCTTTTGTAAATAAAAACCGTCATAATGATCAACCAGCTAATGTAAACTTAAAAACGTGTATTATACGTAATGAATGTACATACATAGAATACAATGCATTGCATGTTGTGCACTTTTAAATATAAACTATTGTTGGCTTTTTTTTTTTTTTTGTACCCAACAATACTTTTTGAAGCAATAATTGGGAGGGATGCTTTAATTTTCAACAATAAAGATAGTTTCTGGTAGAAATTTCATCTAGCTATAACTTCGTGAAAAATAAAACAGGATAGAAAATTTTTTACTTTTTAATTAATTAGAAAAAAATTACATACCGCATACGTAAAAATTACAATACATTGCAGCTTTTGGCAAAATTGTTTTTTTTTTTTTTTTTTGCGATACAGTAAGAAATAATTGTAATAGCTTACATATTTTCATTTATTATATGATAATTCATATTTATAAGCATCGAAGGCCTTATATAAATAACATGATTTTTCTTCCAGTTATTATGAAGATCCACTTTCTGATCCTCGCCAAAACTTTATTAAAAATATTTAATGACTTATATATTATGTAGTTTTATGTCTTTACAAGCATTTGAAATATCACCAGATTATCTCAATATCATAAAACCATCTAAATTGCTTATAATAAGCGTCCATCGTATCATAATAAGTAAATATTAAATCAGTGATACTCAACCTTTTAAACTTTATATACCTTTTTTTTACTAATTGTCGAATTGCTATTCTCTTCTAACTATTTTAACTAAAATAATAATACATTTAAAAAATGACATAACCATCAACAAACAACGCCAAATACAGAAATAAGGGTGATGGTAACGATAATTACGTAGCTGGCGTAATTTATCAGTAATTATTTTCAAAATTAATTTCTCAACTGTGATTTATACTGTTATTTAAATTGAATATAATATTCAAAATTCAAACTTTTGAACTAAAATTAAATTTTCTATTTTTTGATAATTTGATTTTTATTAAATGCTACTATTAAGATTATACTTCCTCATCACTATATTTCCTCCTTTTCAGTAACCAAATTTTCGTTGATGAGGGGTTCGGAAACGAGTATTCCCTCCCCCTCCCCCCCGTTTAAAAACCACAATTATAGATAATATTTTGTAACTGCACCAAGTATGGTACACGCACAATATTTATAAACGCATTTACATGGATAAGTATTTGGATAAAAAAAAAAAAAAGTAAAAACTGTTGGTATTCAAAATAACTGTAAATTACTGAAAATCGAAGTCCCGTAGAGTGAATACATAGGCTTTTGAAAAGAAAAAACCACTGACGGATGTTAAATAATGCTCTACAAATCGGTCACACTACTGTGCGGGTTCAGTTTTATAAATCGTATACGTCTATAGAGTATACCATTTATTGTAATAAAAATATAGTAGCATTTAGGTTATGTGCACGTGTGAACACTTCGATAACGTGTGAATGAATAACATATTTGGCCCACATTTTTATAATATAAAAGCATAAAATAACATTCTTATATTCAGTAACCAAACTATAGACCAAGTTTTCTAAAATTAAAAATGTATCACCGACCGTGTTGGACAAAAATTAAAAAATGTAGTCTTATTTTAAAAATGTTTAATCAATATATAAAAATGTTAAAATTTAACATTTATAAATTATTAGCATTGTTTATAAACTGCTCAAATAGGTACTTGATGAATATAAACTTAATATGATTTTTGCTGTTAGATATACTCGTATTATTCACTATTTTTTAAATGTCCACAACAAAATTATTTAAGCACACGGTGGAGATAATCATCTATTAAACGTGATCACTGATTAATGTGGATATAAATATTATTAAAATAATAAAACGGCTAAGCAACACAAACAAATTAAGTAGATACGAAGAACAAACTGGTTGGAAACAAATTTCAAAAATTAAGAATAGTATTTTATTAGAACCTACTTTATCTTATCGGTAGACCTAGACCGAGACGCAATAAATAAAATACAATCATTTTAGTATCATTTATAGATGTAAAATTTGCAAATTAAAGGAGATAGCTAACAAAATTAAATATTTAGTCTAACTGTCGTTTTGGAGCGAGTCGGTTGCGTGCCGCGGGTCGCCGGTTACCGACCATACTATAATAATTAGTAAGTATTGAGTATTAGTTGTAGACTGTAGTGAAAAATAAACCTATTAACCAGTATGCATCGAATTGATGATCAAATTGTATATATATATTATATAATATATTGGGTAATAGGTACCTACCTATATTTTTAAAATGTAATAATTAACAATTACCCTTATATAACTTTACACAAATATATTTTAAACATAAAAGTTTGATCCATTAAAGTGTAAATACTATTTCAAATTGAAAAACATTTTATTTTAAATCCAATCGAATCTAATGACTAGTGAAAGTTATAGTTATCTACTTATATATTACTCATCGCTCTATGCAATATCTACACCACATTTTGTTCGTTGCGTGATAAGCCGTCATAACGTTGAGTCGTGATTTTCGTAAAATCGATTTAATATTTAAATAGATACCTACTATATAAGCTTAAAAACCAATCACAACAAACGGCGGTATACCTGTATTGCCTATCTACACACACTGCGTGACATAAGTATAAAACGTTTAAAAATCTAACTACTGTAGGTACTCTGTACTCACGTCACTCTCACGACTGAGTCGTTTGAACAGATCGTCCGTCTGAAACTTATTCTTCTGGTCGGGCACCACGCGGGGCATCTTGAACGCCAGCCTGGGCTTGGGCATTTGGTGCTCGAACAGCCCCTGGCACATGGGGTTGAACGACGGCGGCATCATGTTGCCCGGGCCCATCGACCCGAAGTCGTTCATCATGAGCATTGGACGTTTCGCGATCGACAGACGCTATCGCAGTATACTACCTATATTTTATTGTAATATAGACAACGGGTAATCGTATAGTAGGTACCTACCCGAGCGCCGGTTTTTCCGGGGCCGTTACGATATTACCGGACTGTAGCGCGACGACCGACAGCGCCGTCGTGGTATAATAATATTATGTATAACGACGATGACCGCGGTATAGTGTCCCAGTGAATTGCGTTGTTATCAGTGTCGCCGAAAATACGTCATGTGATATCAAGACGCGGGCGGATATCTGCGCCCGACCGTTCGGATGGAATTATTTTATAATATTATATAACATATAAATTATACCTAATACGATTGTAAATCGAGAGTGGAGGCGGTATTGGAAAAACGGACGACCGCGATGGGGCACCGTCGAACGCCGTGCACACACGTGCAGAGAGCAGTGATATTATTATCTCGGTCGAGCACCGTCGTCGCCGAACCAACGCATTACAATGACGGTGATAAAAAAAAATAATATAATACCGCGGCGGCGTCGGCGGCGGTAGTCTAATGTCTCGTGTCGCGGAACGCACGCGCCGCCGCGATAGGACCCGGTTAGCGGTGCGGTGGGGGGGCGCTCGCTTTTCGTACCGCCGGCGGGGGCTAGGTCGACCAATCGGACGCCGCGGCGGGCGTGTCCGGCGGTTTACGCGATGTTGTAAATAATTGTAATATCACTGTCGCGTCCGACCGTGTAAAAATATTATGTGCGCCGTCCTCGGTCGTCCGCGACTCGCCTCCGACGCACTTACTCGTATACCACCATGCCTACATCGGCCCGTCACTCGCCACTCGCCCCTCGCCCCCCCCCCCAAAGAAGTTACGTTGTACGATTGTCGTTTCATTTTCAATTATTGCGTAGATAATAGATATGTTTGAAATAGCTGGGATATATTGCATTGCGTAAGACCCCGTTCGCAGCGAATGCGATTCCGAACTTTTTTTTTTTTTTTCTATCAGAAATCGCGACGGTCCGTCGCGTCGCGCATTTCAACTCGACGTGTTCTAACCCATTGATGCTATGCTGTAGGTACGCGACGAACGATCCGCAACCATCGTTCCGCGGTTTATCATTCCCCAAGACCGAGCCGAATCGTACACGATATCGTGACAAAGGCCGGTCGAATATTTCCCTCCGCCGATCCCAACAAGCCTTTGGCGTCGACACCACACCGTACCTACTTGCAGTCTCATCCCGTCTGTGTGTGCCCTCGCCGTACCTACGCTTTTACAGTCGTATTCGCGACAGTTTATTCACGTATATACGTTATTACAGTAAAAAGTTTTTAAAAAAGGATAATGTTTAATATTATATACGTCATAATAAATTTTAAAATACTGTTCACTATGGATATGAATATTAATAGTGTTTTGACAAGTTTAGATGCGCACCTCAAGAATATTTTTACACGATTTATTATTGTTTAAATAGTAAAAACAAATCATTGCTATGTAATATAATCACATATCATCCGATCGAGTAGATGAAATAAAGAATAAACCAAATAGATATATCATATTATGTTGGTAATATAACGTAGAGATATTTCCGAAACTTATTTAAATATTTTTGCATTAACCTAGCCTTTTTTAATGAAGTATTATACAATAAGTAAGCAGTTTATAGATTTTTAAGAAAGATCTAAATTCGAAAACGTTTTTATGACTTTTGTAATATGATTCGATTATATTTTTTAACTCGTACATATATATTTCATATTCGGTTCCATTATTTCTAGCGCGGAATACTATGAAAAAATATTTGTCAAAAGTAAGCGTATGTATTATATTTGTTTAAAATTTAAATACATAAAATAATTGGTAATCAAAAATCATAGTTGCCTATTATTATTAAAATATTTCAATCAAAAATATACACAGATAATATATATTCGATTGTATTCTTATGAACACGATAATATAGTCTAACAAAATGTATTATAAAGTATAATTTCCTAATTTTTAACATAAATAAGATTTAGAAAATTCTGATTAAAATTATCTTTTTTTGCATAATTATAAATGTATCATATATTATACTATTATCCACAATAATTTCGATTCAAATCAATAACTTTTCAAAAAAAATATGCAGGTCATCTCTTTAAATAATATAGTCGTAAATGTTGTAATGCTAGTACCGATGATGCAATAATATAATATTTAGTTTAGGCACATCTAAAATGTGTATGTTATTCATTGTTTAATGTCAACGTGACAACTGCAGCGGACCGTACAAATTACCGTTTAATTAAGCGCAGCTTTTTTTAATTGCATTATAAAATTAATTATAAATTAAAATTTTACATCATGCACAATATTGTGGTAAGCCCGAAACGACTTCAAAGCTATTGTATATTTTATCATTTCTACGTATTGGAATTTCTTTTGCGTATCATAATAAAATATTTAATAATTGTATATTATAATATTATGTGCATATTTTGATTTTTAAATTGAAACCCTACTGTTATAGAAGATACCGAAATTATAAACGCATGGCAGTAAAATTATCTATCTACAACGCCGTATAATGTTTTTATTATATACACGAAACACGACACTCGTCGACTTTTCATTGTAGGAAATTTTAATATAATTCTCGGGAAAATTTAAACTAAATGTATTATATTAATAAAACTTGTTCAAAGTTACTTACAGGAGATGTTTACTACCAGAAATATCGTTTTAACAGTTGTTACATATAGTTACAAAATGTTATAATACGAAAAAGTTTCTCAATAAGAAGAACCGAAAAGGCTACGACTATAAAGGTACACAAGAAATAAAATGTAATACAAATATTTATTTATTTATTTGATGTCATTCGTACGTGAAAAACATTATTCAAGTTTGAAGAAAACAAAGGGACTACATTAAACAATAATAACTAATTTTCTATATCAGAGATATCGAAAAATATTAAAACTAGGCATATTAAACATTTAAAATTCCATGGTAAATTTAATTAAAATTTAGTTTCGTAACTAGGATAAGTTAATAATAGTATCTATTCTGAGGTATACTGACCAAATGCTGATTCTGTCAATGCGAAGCTAGTTTTTAACAAACATTTACATCCATGTAAATCATAAGTCAATTATTGTTCTCAGGTAGAGCATTATTAAGTTTTTGAATAATGGCAACTGTTTCAACAAATTAATATGTTAATATTATCGTTTTGTTAGTTGTATAACATTATTAATATTATTTAGGTATTGGTATTAATTATTTTTTTTAATCGTGTGTGATTTACTGTTTTTATGCCATTGACTATTTTTTTAAATATTGTCAATAATGCGGTTTAATTTTTACTATAGTCCTTATTGGCATGAAAATATCAGATATCAAAAATATTTTTTAGAATGATGATAAACCAAACCATTCCTAAAGGTTTTAATTGATTTTTGAACATCCCGTATATCATTTTATAAAACGATATTACAGACTTCTCCAGTCATTATGACAGATCTATAATATATGTGCACCGGCCACATCTGTATTCTACACTATACTTTATGTTACATTATTATATTTTGTTCACCATCATTGATAATTTTAAAATAGCAAGATTGCAAATGCAATTTTTTTAGCAAGAATAATTTCAATCTACCTGCTAATAATGTAATAAACCTAAAATACAGTTGGTACTTAGTAATTGATATATTTAATACATTAATTCGATACACAAATAGTTATACAATAGTTATATTAATAGTTTGTACTAGCCGACTCGTCACGGCTTCGCCCGTGATTGGTTGTTTATTTTGTCTTCGGGACAATAATATGTAGAATTTTATATTCAAATTTTATTGTTTAATGTGATCGGCAAGTAAATGTATAAAACGTATTGAAATTTTTCTAGCGGTATTTATGAAAAATATATTTTTACTGAAAATGAATACAGATACGAAAAAAATGCTAATTAATCTGTTGTTGATAAAGAATTATATAAAACTTCTGAGTATATAACGTTTTTTGTTCTATCTCCTGTTGAAATTCAAAATCATTAGATGATTCGGGTCACTAGTTCGAGAAAATCCCACGTATAATTGTTTAAATGAAAAACACTCTAAACGAAAATCTATGCCAACGTACCTAAATTTTTGACCTTGAGCTTTGTTAACCATAATCGCAAAAGAAACTTTAACAGGGATAATTGAAACCATTTGAATGATCGGAGTTTTCCATAAAATTCTCATAATATTAAAACTATTATATTAATTTGTAGTTTATAATTTTGGCAAGTGTTTATTTACGATAGAGTGCGTAAACGATTATAACTGTAATGACGAATAAAATTAAATTGTGAATAATAGATGCACTCGTAGGAGAATTTGATATAATCTTGTGAAAAAAATTGGAAATATGTTAAATAGTGTTGTCACAAATTGGGAATATAAAAAGACCTATTCTTGTAGACTTCACAAAAATGCCCCAAAAATTAGCTTTGCTTTTTAATTTTTCAAGAATTTTGTACTTATTTTTTTACTAACAAAAGTGGTACTAAATAACTTTCAGCAGACTGTTGGGTATAACAGTAAGCATTTTCAGCTAAATCGGTTCAGTAGTTTTCTCGGTTAGCGCAGTCGTAAAAAACGACTTACAATAATTTTATATTGCAGTAGATATAATTAGTATAAGATGTACGTGCAGATAGAAAATAAGCATTCCTAGAAATAGAGAGGTTAAAGGGTAAAAGAAACATAACATGTTTTTCTATTTTATGCTAAACATTACATTTCACGTTAACATCGAATTTCCATATTAAACGTCTTATTATATTATCATCACGCCACCCTAGCACCATACAGAAGTGAGAAGATGTGTATAAATACGAGTCAAACACCAATAAGAAGGTAGTCACAGTTCTAGACTGACTATTTACCCCATATGTAAGACTATTGCTCGTCGTGCAGGGCATTGTAATAGCCACATCACCGCGAGTACGCCGAGTACATATAATGGTCATTCCCATCCATAGTGAACTTTTTGTAATATAGCAGTAAGCAGTAAGCTATATTAATTTAATTTATTGTTTCATGAGTTATAAATTGTAATAATTACTAAAGTTTTAAACACAAGTGTTCTAATTACCAAAAACTGTTTTTCTCACAACCACTTCAAGCTAATCAGGAACGTGCAACGTAGTTAAATAATTAACGAGGTAAAGATCGCAGTGTTCTGCATAGCAATATTATTGTAATATAAAATGTCCTAGGTTAATAGACCGTCTTCGCTCAGAATTGTTCATAATGAATTATCGTTGAATTCAAATTTAACACATTTATTTGATCCATTTCAGTGGCCCACTGTATTACACGTAGCAGATCGGTGCTCACACTTGCTCAAATGATCTTTTTTAAGTTTTTCAATTGAACTAACTATTGCTAATGGTGACATAAAAGGTTCTTATAAGTTATAACTTTATGCAATGGTGTTTTCAAAATATTTAGATTA